TTGTTTAGCTATTGAATTTGTATGTCATCATCATCATCATCGTCATCACCATTATTATCATTATGTATTATTATTATTAGTGTTTTTTTTTTTTTCGGGCTTTTTTACTTTTGACATACAGTAAATTGTTTAGCCTTATTTTGTATTTTAAAGTTTTAGTTATTTTAATGTTTACTGCTTTTATATTATTGTGATTTTGGCCTATTGCCGTTTTGACTTATTGCCGTTTTGACTTATTCCCGATCTGGTTAAAAAGAGTTGCCATTTTGGTTTTTTGCCGTTTTGGTCATTGCCATTTTGACTTATTGCCGTTTTGGTTTTTTGCCGTTGTCCAGAAACCTGACCAACGACAGCGTAGCAGAACCAATTTACACGGGCCTAGAAAATTGCATCTAGAAAGAGTGTCTGTATGAAGTCTAGAGGGGGCCTACACTATCACTGCCCTAGGCCCTTGGTTGATTGGATTTCTCACTGTACACCACCCTAAAAAAGTGGTGCAAGAGGCTGGTGTAGGCCAGTGGTGTCCCTCTATATAGCCCCTTTTGTCTTCTCTAACTGTAATTTAAAATTTAACAACTTTTCTGAACCATTTTAATGGAATAAATATTATTTGTATTTTGAGGAAATATGATGATTATAATTACTATTTTATTATGTAATAATTCTAAGTATTAAAATATGGTTTGTCCTACTTGACAGTAAGCGAATATCTGATCATCCTAACCCAATCATCAATGTTTAACTCATCAACATGGGATATGATAATGTAAGTTAAATATCAAAAGCTTATTTTGCCTGTGTGAATATATGCTGTGAATATGTTAATTCTAACCAAACATTTTAAATCAATCTCCCAGATTTGGAAAAATAATTTTCTTTTTAAAAGTGTTGTCTCTGTTTCCTGGTTAATGTAGATTAATGTAGAGTTTTTATATATATATATGTATCCAAATGTTACAGTATGCATGACCTACTTAAAGCAGACACAATAAATACACTACCATATTATTGTGGTTCAGTTACTCTAATGGGATGTTCTTCAAAATTTACTGTAGAGTGCTAATAATTTATGAGGACATTAGTATAATGTGGCTATCAAGAAATAATTATTGTCTATTTATTATTTACAGAAACCATTGTACCCTGGCAGACCTGCTCCCTAAAAGGAGAGTTGTAAATGCAGTTGGTTAAATGAAAGAACACCCAGAAACTTCTACTGATATCAACCATGTTTATATTTGGAACAGAATATTGAACTCTAAAACCAAAAAGATGCCTGTGTTAGGTGTTATGATCCTACTACAATATCACTGACCATACTTAGGAGTGATGCCTGTCCTGAAATTACAGCCCATGATATGAATGAAAATATTTTACATCAGTTTAGCAAAAAGCAATACATTATTTAGGCAATGTACACAGCATGTGTCCTTATACAAAACACTAGATCTTGGCTTGTATCTCTCTCTTTTTCCAGGTGTATTACAAATAAATAAATGATGTTCTTATAGTAAAACAATGTTAATAAAGTGTCTTTTCATTGCTGTCGATAAGCAATTGGTTGGCTGTAATTTGTAATAATTGTTGTACTGGCTATATTCTGTAAAACATCATTTACAGTACTGTACATGGTAGTATAATACTGATAGTAGCTTAATATATGTTGAACATTTAGACTCAAATGTTGATGTTACAGCAGATCACACTCAA